AAACAGGAACTTTTGACTTCTAAGCGCTCATGTTGTATTTTTTATTCAGATTGTTGGACTGCAGTTTGTCAAAGATCAGCTGTGATTCTCTGGTCTCAGTTCTGGAGTCCAACCCCTTCCATCTGACTGAACTGGATCTGAGTAAAAACCAGCTACAGGATTCAGGAGTGAAGCAGCTGTGTCGCTTTCTGGAGAGTCCACACTGCAGACTGGAGACTCTGAGGTCAGTTCTCTGACTATCTGATGCTGATTTATGTTCATCCAGAATTTATATCCAAGAAATTGTAAATTTCCTTTTGTTTTTATTTTTTATTTGGTTGTCGTAAATGTTGTGTGTTGTCACAAAAGACAAGTGTCTGTTGGTGCACCTGACTGGATCATTAATGATTTTTATCTACATGTTTTGTTATTTAGATTGAGGCGTTGCAGTTTGTCAGCGATCAGCTGTACTTCTCTGTGCTCAGCTCTGAAGTACAAGTCCTGCCCTCTGAGATATCTGAACCTGGGAGAAAACAAGCTGGAGCATGCACATGTGAAGCAACTGTCTGATCTTGTGAAGAGTCCACACTGCAGACTGGAGACTCTGAGGTCAGTAGAGGGTTGCAGTCAGTCCATGCTGTTCTCAGCAGTGTTGTGCTGCAGCACACAGAGACTCTATTTTCAAATGGAGCAGCAGTGAAGAGTTTGTGCAGTAATGGAGCCTTCCTGGCTCTCAGCAGTTTACTTCCACTGTGGACTGCAGTCAGATCTGCAGAGGAAACACATTTAATGCTAAAGTACCTTCAGTGGGGTATGCTATGAGACAGGCTGAGCATAGCCAGGCTTTCTTTGTGTTAACTGGCTGGACAAAACCCAAAACCTCAATCACAGATAATGAGCATCACAATGGTGGTTATCAACTTTCTTTATTAACCAGATTTTCTTCATCAGGCTTTCAGTGCATTCACATAAAATGGGGCGTTTTAGGGGTCATGTGACTCATCTTCCGCCTACCTCAGCTGAAGAACAGGTTGTTATAGTGGAGATCTCGGAAGAACATAAAAATCTGCTCCTGTAAAAATTGCTGTTACTGCGGATGATGCAGGACATGAATGCTGCCAGAAAACTGTTAATTGTTTTGGTCGAATCAAAGTGATATTAATCGAATATTGAATATTTTCTGTGATAAACAGACTAATCTTTCTAATCTGTGTTCTATTGGCTACAATGTCACCACTATTAAATTGCCTTGGCAGCAAATCAGGACCAAGCATCACAACATTTCTGCATTTTCTTCATCACCACCTGAAGGCATGTAGGTTCCCTTGGCAACGTGATGCATACAGTTTGCTTACTGTAACTGCACGGCTTCAATCATACAGCGCGACAGGTTGGCAGACAAAAAATGTATCATTGAGATAATATGATCCAGAAAAAAAATATAAATGAAAGGGAGTCACTCCTTACAGACATGTCAAATATCAAACTCTGAACAGAACCTCCTCTGGACCGCCTTGGATGTGCTGCATCACCGACTGACATCTGATAAAGCACTCATGTATCTGCTCTGTTGTTTCCTCTTCTCTCTGTAGATGGGAATGGCTATCTGTAAAAAGGTGAAAATGATCAGGACGACGTGTGCTGAGAGGATGAACTGTGTCCTGGTGATCCACAGAGGTTAAAGCAGCAGCAGCAGCTCGTGTGCAGAAAAGTTCTTACTGGTCCATGTGACTGCAAGGTGAAGAGGAGAGCTTCATACAGCAGTGACTGACAGA